ACGCTCCTTTTTGTCATACAAGGTGGCATAGAAAGGCTGGTTCTTGAAGGTCTGGCAGATCCAGGCTGGGTTCTGTGGCTCCAGGCCTTTTGCTGCGGGCATGTTCTGGTAGAAAAACTGGTTACATGTACTTGCAAAGGAATTCACCACCTCGCCCTGTCCCAGCCAGAGGCAGCTCGCCCAGACCTGCAGCAGCAGCAGACACAGCATCGTGGGAGGATTTCAGGTGAAGGGCTCTTGCTCCCCTGGAAGGCAAATGCAGAGGGACACTCAGCTTGGAGAGAGCTGACCATGGCCTGCAGTCATTTTTGTGCTGGTGGGACACAGTTGACTGACTAGAGGACTATGAGAGACCAAGAAGAGGGTACTGTCTGACCTCCTGGATATGGAAAACTGCCAGGGCAAACAGGCTGAAATCTAAAAGAGGGTTAAGGTGACTACAGAAGGCAGCAGTGGGAGAATTCATCTTATCTGAGGAGGGATCCAAACCCACCTCATGTCCAATCCGCTCTCACAGCAAAGTTATCTGACTCTGAGGGTCTGAGGCACAGCAGTGGGACAAGGTCACCTTGTCCAAACTCCCGGAGTTGGACAAGTTCCTGTACAGTAAAGGGCACTGTTGCAGCAATTTCTATTTCTTCAACAGAAACAAGTCCTCTTTTATCTGGCTCAGCATTGGCATGATTTTCAGCATTCAGTGAGATCATTGCTCTTGGAGAAAGCACTGAAAAGTACCTCTGATGTGGCAGCCAAGCAGGGAGCTTTGTCTTATTTCCGATGCACCAGAGGCTTAAGGATAGCAGTGATATTTCCATTTTCAATGCTATATACAATACGTAAAGGGCTATTTTAAAATCAACAGAGTGATTTTAAAATGACTAGCATTTTCAAGAAGGCAGACAGCAGAGGCAGCTGGAAAGATTCATGGGACAAAAAGCTGCTACAGTCCACCTGACACTGCAAAAGGGTCTGGGCTGAGGACTGCAGAAGACTTGACAAGGCACCTTGCACTTTTGCTCTCTTCTGACCCTTTGTCCTGACCTTTATCTCTTCATATCCAATCAGTTCAGGATATAGAGCTACACATACCCTTGCTCTCACCCAAGACATCTGGTCCTTTATCTCTTTACCAGCCCTGGATCAGGAACGTGGGGACCAGTGAAAAGGAAACTCAGAATATGAGCCACAAGCTGTAGCTTTTTACAATGCTCTGCAGAGCAGGACCATCTCTGCCCCAAATCAAGCAGAGAAGTTCCTGAAGGTCCTTTTGAACCAACCCCTCCATGAG